GATGTTGAGGGAACTTTTCACCGCCTCGGATAAGTCGTGTATATAAAATGTTTCACGAGATTCAAAAGCAAAACCAACCATTTCAACGTCTACAGAGTACGTGAAAAGCTGTGCCGAATATCTAGATGGGGAGCTTTTCGCACGTTAGATACCGTGACCGTCGTACAGTATCACGCCCATGTGATTCACGCTTAGATAACCCGGGGGGGGGTGGCGGGGGGTAGGAGGTGGGAATGGCTGTGGATGAGCGGTGTAATGTGACCAACAAGAAGAGTGTTGTCATGCAATTCTACAATATGTGGACCACACGTAACATGTGAACATCCTTGTATTGGGCAAATGTTTTCATAAATTCGTATACTTTTTCCTCAATTAACTCGATAGTTCATTAAGCGAAAAAGTGAATGAAGGCTTGTTATTATTAGCTCTGAATATATTTTTTGTTAGTTAACCGTTTCTATGAATAATTAATCAAATTAATTAATTATAATTAAATATATCACCAGACCCTACGACCACGCCTTACACCGGTATAACCACATGCCCTCACGTGAACTCTCCAGCACTCCCCTTCGACGATATCATAGACTTACTCCCAGCAGCAGTGCATATAAGAGAGGAGGGAACGATAATAACAATAACAAATAACAACAAAGTAACAACAACAGTAACTACAACGGCTATTACGTGATAGCGTATTTCAGCGTCCTGTGTTCACTGAGGAGGCGGAGTGGGACTGGAACTGGGGGTGTTCATGATGAGTTTAGTTATATTGCTCTGTTAAATAATTAGTGAATTAGCCAACACTTCCAACACTGTCTAGCATGAATGTTCAAAGAGTGTTTCAATTATTTTGATTATACAATAACACACTGTCTTTAATGCAATGCACACAAAAAGTAGGTAAGAAACAACTTTTAAAGTAACACTGACCCTATAAAGGCAGACTACTAATATATCATACCAATACCAATAGTTTATAGTCCCGTACATAAAACCATTAAATCAAGGTGTACCCCGGGGTAGTCAGGTGGAAGTTCGGTGGAATGTCCTGAGGAAATGGACTCTCTCCCTGTAACCTGGGTACTCTAATCCCTTGAAATCCCGCTGCTAATAATTGGAGGAACAGTATTATCTCACCAGGTTAGAACAAACACTTATAGAACAATATTAAAAGTCACTCTCAGTTTTATCATCAAATAATAACTGGGTATCTTACGAAACCATTAGTATTTTTCATTGAACCTTAACTTCATCAGTGACAACTTGCCAGCATTTTAGCCAAAAAACTGAGGATGAGTTTTCGCCCCTATTTTTCGTTCTACTTATTATTACTACGCATTTTATCATAATCTTATCTTTTATTATATCTTATTCTTTTATCAAATCTTAGCAGACAGTACGCGGGAACACATATCAATACAGGGGCAACTTCAGTACGGCAAACAAAATGCCTGACCTGCACCCCACTCAGGCTCGCTTTTAAAAAATATAATTCGACTTGCGCTTTGTTGAGTTTAGTGTAGATAAAAGGAGCAGAGACAATCAAGGGACAGCAATCTTACACAAATGTGCTCAAAACATACATCACTCAAAGTCAAGCTATGTATAAATATGAGCCACAAATTCCTGAAAATACCAAACAGGTGCCAAACTTTAAGTTTAAGAACAATAAACATCCATAACCTTTTCTTTATAGAAAATTAATTCCCTCATCTCAGACTCATGCCTGTTTGTTTTCTTGAGTCAAGGTTTCGACGTTTTGTAAATATATATCATAAGAAGCTTAATCAACTAGTCTGTAGTCATACTACTTGTTTTCAGCTATGCGATTCATTTTCAACCACAAATCAAGTATAGCAACTACTAGCTGTAGTTTGCAGTTTACAGTGTAAACTGCCACTACACAATTACACATTACATCGATACTGATCCAGATAATAACTTAAATATTTACAAATATGATTATGTCTTATAGTATTACGGTTCATATCCCATGGATATTGAATATTTCATTATCTGGGCACAATTATTATTCACATAACTAGCTATAATAAAAATTACTACATAACTCACGACTACTGTTTAAGTAGTTCAAGTAGATTACCTACTTTTGTGGGCTGATAACGTCGATTGAACTATTTTTTTTATCAATAGTTAACTATTAAGTTTTTTATGAAATTGATTAATAAAATATGCCCGGATACTATGATCATAATACCATCATTGATCATGTAATATCCATTATTTAATCGAAATGGCGAGACAAATCAGTCAAAAATGTAGTTTTGAACATTGGTTGCAATCACCCCAAATTTGGTTCTCAGTCCCCCACAATGAATCAAAGCCCCCGGTGCAATCAATTGTGATAAATGAGCCCTCGAGTCGGCACACATTTGCATTTTTATTCTCACCTTTTTGTTGGAACGCTACGTTATTTTGTGTCAGAGAAAAACCGGTAGTCTTGCAGTATTTGGTAAGTCTTGCAGTTTGCTGAGATGCACCAAAAGAAATCAGTCAATTTTAGCGAAAAACCAGGTAGAGAAGAAGTCTTGGACAACTTTGTGACCGATTCATCAAAAAGATCATTAAATTTGTATATATATTGCTGAAGAAGCTCCAAAGAAAGCAGTTAAATTTTGGTGAAGTGGTGAGAAGAAACCAGCCAAGATTTAGCAAGAAAACGACTCGTCTCTTCTGCCGACAGAAGTCATCGCACTGCCTTGGTTGGTAATGATTGCCTATTCTGTCTATGCGGGTATAGTTTCGCGTACATTCCAGATTTTCAGCATTTTTAATCAAGGGCCGGTCATGTTATTTAAGAATAGAAGAAAAGTAGACCATTACGCCCGTCAATAATTATTTTAAACACTGCAGTCCGACACTCAAAAGTTTGACAGAGATCATACTGAACAGAAAAGTGATCACTTCTGATGAAATTAAACGTGACGAACCTCTAGGCCAGAATCCTATTTGTATTAGTGCTAATATCCCCCTTCAATCTCACTTCTGATTCCATCCGTACGGCGTACACCTATCACTATCAAACAAGGCAGTTCAACTCCGATACATTCATACAACGGGCACTTTGTATACATTAAGTGAACTGACACCGTTTTATCAATTATAAATGTTGAATATAATTTTTTATAATTTTATTATTGTTTTTATTGTAAACGGAGAGATGTTTCTCAAAGGTAAAAGTGCCCCGGCTAGTTGAATAATGACTATCCCTACCTTACAGCTAACATAACCATGAAGTTACTATCCTACTATACACTAATGGGCAGTAACCATGATGTTACTATCCTACTTTACAGCTAACAGTAACCATGGTGTTTTGACTCAGGAGTGACGTGCTTCCAAGGTTACAACTAGTAGAGGAACTAACTGAGGAGCTGGTGGTGGAAATAGAGGAAGCCGAAACCCCAGGAACCAATAGACCCCTTCACTGTTAGGTTTTGAGTACTTCATCGGTCCGCTGAAAAGCTGTGGTACTGATAGTGATATAAATGCCTTTTATTCAGTTTTCTCGCAACCTTCCAATCGACAGATAAGACATATATAATACTTAAACATCACCGAGAAAAGCTTTTAAACGGCCACAATAAAATTGTGACGCTCTGCTGTCCTTCACAGTACTGCATTAATTACATATTTCACTATTATCAAAGTAGGTCTGAAAATCATATAATAATACAGTTTAGTATAGTTTTTTTAGTTAACTTGTATCATAAAACAATTTTTCAGAGAGTGCGACAACCTAACGGGCCTGCACTTGAGGGATTTTAGACATTAGGCTAACAATAGTGAGGATATGACTTCAGTCACCTCCTCGGATCGAACCCACTCGTCTCTTCCTTCCGGGGAATCCAGGTTTGAGGTACCATGGCAACCAGTTTAACAGAACAGTGATTCTCTTAGAACTGGTAAAGCATTTATTATGATCAATTGCCTAATCATCGCCGCCCATGACTTATACTCTGGCTGACTGCTGTTATGTCTCAATTTGATGAACTGTAAAGTAAACTATCGTATCAACTTCAATTTGTACTTTTTAAAATGATAACCTGTGTACTTTTTAACAAAAACACTGGAGAATCTGCATGACCTGTTTGTTAAATAAAAATTTGTTTGATTAAATAACTGTAAGTTTTAAATAATGACTGTGTGAACTGAATTGTATGGTTTGTTAGCGGAAATTAGAACGATATTAGTGCGCGTGAAAGTCGCAAAACCAATCGCCATCTATCCATTCTTCAATAATGGGATGACACGTACAACCATGCAATACTTTACTAAATTCTTGCAAGATTATGGTTGGGCGCGTTGCAATTCCAACGATTGAAATGTGAAAGAGCCAAGTTAACCGAGTTGTGTTACTGTTAAGACCTCCGTCAGAAAGCTGTGATAAAATAGACCCAAGAATTGGCGCAACATTAATCCCATCTCTTTCTCATTAAAGTTTATCGAATTTACGAAAATGGAACACACATATAATTTTGTAAGACAATGATTAATACAAAGTTAGGTAATAGATTAACAACACGTATATACATCTTAACATCATTACAGAAGATATACCAAAATGCTGATAAAATAGAATTTCCATTCATATACCGAATGCTACACCTTAATAAAGTACCCTCCGATATTAAGTCTGAAAACATTTAGAAATAAAAAAATATTACTTCGAGCCCTTCAAATCTTGGTATGGGCCATGGAACTAAAAAAATTTTGACATGAATCCGATAAATTTTCCTCTAGCACTACTTAGAGTCGATAAAATTTCCTCTAGCTCTCTAAAATCGAATGGAAAAAGTGATGTGATGAGATCAAATAAGTTATAAACAAGGTGGCGTCCTCAGAACTAGTCCACAAGTCAGGCAGAGTTTGCTTCAGGAGCCACCCACCTGTTTCCACCACCATTCCATCCTCCGAAGTGCTTAAGACCTGGGAGCGAGGCTCCAATCACGTGTTAAGCTTCCTGTTATCAGGCATCATTGTTCCTGGTTGGAGACTGGGCTAGTTTGCTCTAGTGCCGCTACACCTTCTTCAACTGAAAAAGGAGATTTAATAAGAGAATAAGGCAATACGGAGAGAAATTACGAGAAACTGGAAATAGATTTGTGATTTGCGATAAAATGAAATATTCCAGACAGGTATGATCCCCGAGACAGTGAACATTGAGCTAGATTACTGTCTATTAGTGCCACCTATTTAATAATACCCGCTACAACAGTGCAGTGTCACGTGAATAATCAGGATTGTGCTTCCACCAGCAGCAGCAACTGCAGACACCACGGTGATGATTAAGGAAAAATGTGTATAAATAAGATCTGGCTGAATACTGAAGTCAACATAAAAATTTTATTATGTTATGCTCATCGTATAGTATGTGATTACAATTTTTGTCGGTTTAAATGGAGACAATTTTCCTATAATTTTAAAAAGTGTGCCGCTGTGCCTGCTTAATTCGATTCTGCGAGTGCCTAAAACATTTTCGCGAGAGCTCCCTGCCATTTTCTGCAGAGAGTTATTAACATTTTAGAGATTGATCATTCAATTAAAATCCTTCAATCATTGGAGTAGTCATAACCTAATTGTTACACTCTAATATCCGATCCATCGCCCCTCAGAAATCAACAATAACTTCATCGGTGGACTCTTGGGTCATTAGCGAACACTTGGAACCCTCACGGACACACGTTCGTAAGCGGATGATTTTATACTTTTATACTGTCTAGAAAATTAAAGCAGTAATTAGAGCCAAGGCTCGCATATCATGTCTTATTATGCCGCGCTGAATACCTAACTGTGATTCGGAATGATAATTTTGTTATGGGTTGTATTGTAACAGTTTTCAAACATTCGCTAACAAGATTCTTCGGGGTATTATTAGATATTACCGAATTTTGTGTTTTGTGCAATGCAGTTTGTGCTAGTTTTCCTTGTAGTGCTTACAGCTGGCATTCTCTCAGTAAATGCTCGGTTAACATTCCCGTCTGAAGTGTGGATAGAACCGGGTACCGATCTCACTGTCACATGTAAAACAGATAGAGGTGTGATAAGCAGGGTCTATACACCCGACGAGGAGGTTCCTTCAGATGAACAATTGAGGCAATTCAGGGACAGCTACCGTTCATTTGGTTGGGGGGTTTCGGCGAACAACCTCACCCCGGGGGGGGGGGGGGTGGGGGGGGGGGGGGGTGGGGGGGGGGCCCGCAAGTACAGCAAGTACAGCAACGCTTCAACCAGAGGAAGGTGAATTTACACGTGCGTGTGTCACGATGATGATCCTCCATCGCGGTGGAGATAGCGCTACCAGTCCTGTTCAGTTAAGGGACCTCTGTGCTGACTCTAACTGTTTCGAGCAACAGACTTGTTTCCCTGACTACGACACGGGTACGTTCCAGTGCGAGTGTGTGTTCGACTGCCATTTATCCGAGCCAAAACTTCTGTGCACGGACACGTGCGAGCTGTTTTTCAACGAGTGTTCAATGTGGGAGACAATGTGTTTGGATGGGGTACACCGGAATGTGCGTATTATGATTGTGTCAAGCTGAGGAAGCGACCCATAGTGTTTTCAGTCCGATATACCCTGTTGATATGCACCCTCGTGGGAAAAGAAGTGGTTTTAATAATTCAGGGCTGACCAGAGACGGGATACCCTCCTCCTCAATAACCTGTACCTAAACGGAAAATGACATCCAAGAGATCAGAAAGAAAGTAAATAAGTTTGTAACATCAGCGGAGTGGGGAGGTCAGAAAGTGTGTAATATCATGCAAAGGTAAGAGGGAGAGCGTTGTGTCTACACCCGCAACAACATCATCCACCCTCCTCCACCAGGGTGTACCATGTCTGCATTGTCTTCCCTGTGGGTTTTAGACAGATTTCCACGGAGCTGTAAGCAACTATGAATATGCTTGTTCTCATGTTCTGGCGGCTAACTCTTTGGTCAATACTGACTACAGCCAAGGCTGGTATATATACGGTACATTCGACGTGCACGACGGAGGTAGCGCTCTCATGGCCATGACATTCTTCGTGGGAACCACAGCGTTTGAGTTCCAGAGGGGGTGGTTGATAAACATAGGAGGAGAGAAGCTGGAGGTGGATGAGGGAGTGGGGGTGATGTTGGGACAGAGCGGTTGCGAGGTGAGGTTCACTGGACTTCACCTCCGAGCAGCGTGTCCTCATTTCTACGCGTACTATGATGGGGTCATGTCTGGGCATGTTAGATTGGGAGGTGGGGAGGAGTTTGTGGAGGATGTGGCGGATAAAAGTGACACTGAGTTTGGGTTGTGTTGGGACAGTGACGCAGGGTTCAGGACCAACTGGAGGCTGATGTTCACTGAAGAGTGTGCAGTGGAGGGGTCAGTGAGCCCGTGTCCTGATGCACACATTTACTGTGACAAATTCAACAGAGAACCAGGCTCAGGGTACGGTAAAGCTACCCCACTACCTGAATCAGGGGCTCTGACCTGTGGAGCTGGTTCAGGTATCCGTGTGCTGAGTTGAAGTGTGAGGAACAGGAAATAACTGCTGTACATAAGGAGCGCGCTTGAACCAAGCTGAAAGTGTAACACTGCCATCTGAAGCAGAAGTTCTGGTTGAGAAGAGGGTGGGAGGAGAGTGCCCGGAGGAGGAATGCGAGTGGGAGTTGGAGATAGTGACCGGGGCTGCCCACAAGACAACCCACCCTTTCAGTGTAATGGAGTTTAGCAGATAACATGAACTGATATTCTCAGTAATTCGTAGCACAGATTAGATGGATAAGTGGATCGTGAGCAAGTTAAGAAAAGCGAGTGTGAGCAAGTAATCAAGAGTGGCAAAACTTTACTCTTTAGTTTAACTAATCGATGTTTATTCGTTTGTGTGATTATTATCGTAAATGTATTGAGAACATGTCACATTGACATCAAACAATTATACGCCTCTTGATTGGGCATGATTTGAATAAATACGAATTTGTAAATTTTTATCAGATTGTACACTTTTTTCCAAAATATATTTTTCGTTGTTTTATGTTATTGAGATTTAACCCGAGTGCTATAAAATTCTTAAATACTTTTATCAAAAGTTATTCAATCGATTACTTTAATTCTAAAATTAAAATTTCATTATATAGATTTTGAAATACGTATGAATTGGAAAGTGGTTCCTTAATATCTGTTGGAGGCCTTGCCGAATACAGTAAAAATCCTGATTTTCCCAATCTGTTTTGACTATAAACTAATCTTGAAAGGTTAAACATCATTTTTGACCAGTTAACCCCGAAACTGATCCTGCTTCTCTGTTCATTCCGCGCAATATTTAGAATGGGGCAATAGTAAACTTTATATAATGTCGATTGTAATAGACGAATAATAGAATTAGAATACCCGTTTAGTACCAAGACGAGGAGGTGACTAAATGTCCCTAGTGTGGTAAAGACTTAAGTTACCATGTAAATTGAAAATGATCCCTAAATAATAGATTTGTTCGTGTTAAGGCTGGATACGATTAGTGTACCCCTTCATTTTCGTTTTTAAAATTATTTGCTTTGCATAATCAGTTTATAAATAGGAGAGGTCGACATCAAAGTAATTTAATTTGAAATTATTAATTTATGACTTTAATTTAGATTTAAGCTTGTGAAATGTTGAGAAACGTTTCAAACTTAGATAATTTGGCATGACAGGGAATAAGTGGCGAGCAATCGCTATTACTATATTAGTAAAATGTTTTATTAGTTGACCAAGCGGGTTCATTTTAATTATATAACGTTTCTTTAATGATAAAGGAGAGCAAGTTAATTATGCACTAAATTTATAATAGGCTGGATCCAGCTGCTTACAACGACGTTTTCTTCCGTTATACAATAAATATTCATATAACAAAATTAGTAATCAAATTAAAGTTTCATATAAAAAACACCAAATGACTTTAAACATTGAGACCAGCTACCTGAGGAGAAGGACAGTGCAGGAATACCAGTCTCGCTCCACTCGTCTTTGTTCTGATGTGCTCTTTTTATCATAGCTTGCTTCATATCCTCCGGCCATTCACAGTCTGAAAGGGGAAGTTTTAATAAAATTAAAATTAGTTATTAATGATTAGGGTTATTATAATCAGCGTACATTTCCAATCTTGTCGTGAAGCAAAACGTTACTGAAGTATAAGGAAGCTCAAACCTTTGACGATATATTTGTTGCTGGCGATGTTAGGACAGAATATTATGAGGTCAGGCGTGATGTCCTTTCTGATAATATCCAGGAAATCGGCCAAATGTCTGTCACGTGTTGTATTCACCACCAATACTTTCCTTCGACTGAAATAGCGGGGTGGAGTTAAAACGGTGAGATGAAAATATTTATATTGCAGGGTAATTTTAGATTAGACAAATGGATGTAAAGGTTTTTAAACCGACTTACACTCTTCCTCACAGGACAACAAAATACTGACCAGTTACGAAACTTTCAAAATCGGAAAGAAGAGCAAATATTTGAGCAAAAATAAAGGCAACTTGAGGGCGTTTGATCATATTCACTATGGGACGACACCACTTCTAAACTCCCGACCGTGCAACGGAACCCACCTGTCAGCGGTGCAGTTTTTGAACCACTGTGAACACAGACCAATACTGACGGGAGTATGGGCTCCATCAAGGTGGTAGGCTACCTTGTCTCGGTAGATCACGTGGTTTCTTCCGGGCCACTGACACGTCATTATTCCTGAAACACAAGGGAAATGTTGGAGTAGACTTACACTTCATGTATAACCTGAAAATACAAGGACACTTTTTCGTTTCTAGGTTGAATAATCAAAGAAGCTGACTAAACTCGGATAAATTTACCAATACAAATCTAAGAGTTTGCAATTACGTTGAATAGCATCCTCTGAAGGAAGGTAATCTTGAATCGGAAGGGACTGCTTTAGCAGGCTCCTTATGACAGGAAACATCACCGTTCAACAGGGGTCCTATATTTGTCCCCTGAATAGTGCAATAATCATTAAAGTAAACAATCGAAGGTAAATTACGGAGATAGTAGAGATCAAAAATATTTCGTTTACATAAATCATGCACACTCAGCGAGAATATATTACTTCGGGGTCAACCTCATCTCCCTGGTAAGATCAAAAAATTGATCGAGGGAAACGCTGGTCCATCAACGAGACCCCATAAAACATATCCTAACATTCTCCACTGACTACGGTCCACTTTTTTCTGACAATGGTTCAGCATTGCAAAGTTTATCCAAGTTTTTGTTGGAGATGACTCCTCGGTGGCTTGGTACTCTATATTAAAACTGAAGCAAAGATGTCCGCGGAGCTAAGCATCAAGAGCTCAGTTTTAATAGTCCCTTAACATTAGTAAGATAAGTGATAACAGATGTATTACCTGGTGATGAGGGTTCAAGTTGAGCCAATGTTTAGCTATCTGCAGTGACAGGGAAATGTTATCTGACCAAGTGCTGAGTCAGAGTCGGCGGGTTGGGGTAGTGGGACAACGGAGGCACTGAGGAGTGCAATGTTTAATATTATTATTAAAATATTAAAAATAATTATTGTGTAGTCTGATAATAATTGATTATAGAATTAACCTCAAACTGGTTGAGTCAGGTTAATTAAGAACTATTATCAGATGACGATTATAAAAACAGGAGGACGGATTAAAGGAAAAGAGAAGTGTTTGTAAAATAAAAATGAAGCCTTCACATGACATTACCATGTTTAATGTTTATCTCGGGCGGGTTTGTCACATTAGCAGATTATTATTACTTTATTAAGAGCTGAATAACTCTAATTTTAATATTCTATTGGCTCATAATAGGACAAACAGTTTTTCTACCAATTTGGTATTTATTAATCGGATTGCCCAGGTATTTCTTAAATTTTTGGGAAATCGAGAGAAATTAGAAATGTTGAATAAGGTGGCGCGCGGTGATAAACAGAAAGTATGAATCACTTGAAATAGAGACCATCGACGGCAAAATTGTCTCCTTTAAGCTTCACAATTCGAGACCGACAGGAATGATAATTCCATTTTTTACCGCTAGTTTGCTTCAAATTGAATGCTTATATTGTGAGTTGTGACGTTCGGTAGTTAATGTGGTCATCTCCCCATCAGGCTCGGTCAAATAGTCGTACCTTGCTTTTCGTCCCGGGCTACATTTTAAAGATGGCAAACATAGTGGTCATACCTGAGTGATTAAATCTAAAGAAACCGAATTTTGTTGCCAGATGAATCAACCAAATATTTAGCCGCGACCATAATTTTGGAAATATTATCTTGCCACACAGTGGCTTCATGAGGTTTATAAGCAATAGACAGGTGGTAAATAAGTCACACAACTGAATGTGTACTCATTACTCATTAGAAAGTAATTATCCAGCCTCTCACGAAATTAGAAGCCGAACTTTGGACACTGTTGTTACTTTGCTCAATTCCCGTGTGAATTTGTTAAAGGGTTTTTTAAGTTTTGACACTGTCTCATTTGGTGTGACGAATTACTATTAGTGCAGATGTTTTGATCTGTCAAATTGTTTATTACCTTATTAACATCTGAACAAATTTCAAGCGCTTGCTACGTCTGATTGTATTGGCAATCATTATTAAGCGACCTTAAACTGGTCATATAAAGACAATCGTACCAAATATCTCTTAGTTTTACTTGTAATCAGCAAATCTTTAATCGACTCAGGCAGGTTATCAGTATTCACTAGACTGGTACTGCAGTAGTAAGGATCATAAATTCACACCAATTATTAACAAAGAAAGGATCAACGTAGTGTTTAACCCTGAAAATGGGATAAACTGACCTAAGACCAGTTATATGAACATGGTTCTTCCTACACTATCTCTGCGCTAACTCTCCCAAACCGTTTATTGTTCGTCATCTACTGCCTAGACAGTTAAATGTTGTGTAAATAGCGCAGTCCCTTAAGTGCATTTGAAGTGCATTGTATATATAAACGGATTTTTTCCCGTTCTGTCAATGGTAGCTTTTGTTCCGTTAATATCTGAGATTTGTCTCGAGACTTTGAGACCCGAATATAATACAATATTTTCTTCATCGTCAGTCTGGAATTTTACCGCTGTGAATTCAATCTTGTGATATATAAGTATATATATATATATATATATATATGATATATCTATCTATTCTTTTCATTGATTTATTAAACACGGTATTTTGTCAGGAGTTGCCTGAGAAAATAGTGTTATTAAAAAACCGTATTTAACAGTAAAACCTCGATTTACCGCAATTCCCGATTTACCGCGGCCATTTCCTTTCCCCAAATTCCTTTTCCCATACAGGGATAGGGGAGGGGTGGTGAGTTCCAGATTATAGGGCGGCGTCCTGAAAAACAGACTCGTGGGCGTACTAGACAACGTGAAAAAACAGGACAGCAAAAATTCTCATATTTTCGATAATTGGGGGTTACTGAAAAGTGCAAGAAGATAATTTAAAAACAATCAGACGAGAAAGGCATTCAGATGTTACTTGGACTGTTCATTAGGTTATGTATCATATCTCCGCTATTGCGTTCGAGAGTGAAACCGTTAAAGCTTGTCTTACAATAAAAGTATCTGTAGCTGTCAAAAATTTACTTTTAGCTTGCAGATTTTTTCACTCGCGATTAAGCAAGGTTGTGCCACGTACTCTAGTGCCATTTTGTAATTCTGATTTAGACTTTAGAGTCTTTAATGAAGGTCGGAAGTGAGGGAAAGTTTAAGTAAGAATAAAACATTGTGTTAGAGTGTTAGCAAGTAAATATTGCACGTGCTACACTTGTGAGGGCAGTTAAAGTGCAGAACTGTATGTTTCGTTGCTTTGTGATACTGATACGTCATGATTAGCTCTCATCTAGACATAACATATAGACATATAACAATTCGATGTGACTAATGATCTTAATGCAGTAAAAACTTTAGATTAATAGCTTAATTAGCTTAACTTTAGATTTATTAAGGAATACTTGGAAATTTCCTATTATTTAGCTAAGAAGTTCAGTAGAGTTTAATATGATAAGAGAATTATAAATTATGTATTAATGAATTAAATAAAATTCCTTGAAAAAAAATTTCGAGTTTGATAAACAGCAGCGTTGAAAGTATCTAACTTACTGAGTTACTGCACAGTTTTATATTATTCTTCCAGTTTCATCAGGCCCGGCAACCATGTTGATGAACCAATCTTAAGAAATTTTCTAATTTCGACAGTCAACGTTAATACTTCATAATTCGCTATAATGACTATCTTGATTGAAATCTGCCACATAGTCATACAATATGATACAGTGGTGTTAAACCAGTGTACCCAGTTGTCCGAAAAAATACGAAATGTTGTTAATAAAGCTCAACTCGGCTTCTGAGATTGCTTAGATAAATTTGGTGCCGACTCAGGGACCCTGGTTCCCCCCGATTGTACTAAAATACTTTAACAACATTTCTCTTTTCTCAGTGTGTATATTGAGGCAGATGTTTTGTACACTCGGTAAAAACTTTCATAATCGAACCAATGATCTAGTTACTCTCGATACATTTCCTAAACGATCCATACGTACATTACTTTTTACCGGCTCGTCTCTTTTGGTTCGTTAAAATCAAAGGTTTCTCTGTCATACCTACATAAGTAGTTGGTGACTGACGGTAATAGTATTAATCTTTCAGCATAAGTTGGTAACAACTATCAGTTCCATATTCGTCCCTCTACCATAGATGTTTTTTATGATTTAGTCCTAGTTCGCCTTTTTGTAAATAAAATATTCTTGTGAAAGGTACTGATTTATTTTTGAGCTGATTGTAAAGGTATTTGATTAGTGGTCAAGGGTGCGCTCGCGCTATAGAGAGACGCTGATGACAGCGTGCGCGCGTCGAGAGCGCTGCGCCTTGAGAGGAATCGCGAGATGAGGGATTCTCTGCAGTTCGGTTGTAAGTTTATCCACTTGACCAAGATATCATCTGCTAAAATCACAAGCTCTCGATTATTGGGGTCACTCAGGGGTATGAGGATGAGATTATAGTCGAGGAAGAGGTGATGAGAGTACAAGGCATATTAAAACAATGAGCGCCTTAAACAATTTACTTGAAACAGCTCCTGTATCTTGATGAGGGCGACATCAGTGTACTCAAGAAGATTTTCAGCGAACCTGATGTGCAGTTAGACTCTCGTAAGTCCTATTCTGCCCATTTGCTATCGTAATGTAATGGAGATAATTTCTTTGTTATAAGCTTTCAATTCAACTGTTGTTCATTAAGAGGTAACCTAACTCAGATTCTAGTCCCATGGTGAGGCCAGGTATAGAAGATATTATGTAAATATATCCTCATTACACCACTTAAGGCCTAAGGGGTAACATGTAATCTGTCAGCGAATGTTAAATACCCGTTTGTGTGAAATTCTGGAATGTAACACAAAGAAAGGAGTCGAAGGAAGTACACAGTACCCAGACCATTGACATAACAATGTTTAATTCAGGAGCAATATGAGCATTGTTAAGCTTCAGGGCCGGGCGGGGGGGGGGGGGGGGGGGGGGGGGGTTGTGGCCAATGGGTATTTTTTTGTGAACTTAGAAATTCGAGATAGCAGTGACCCGAACGTTTGAGGGGGTCCCGGACCCCAACCGCCAAACGGTTGCCTGCGGAGCAGCCACGGCCCAATATTTGGTCCAAATTAAGGCCAATTTAGCAGAGCAAATTTTCAGGAAAAGAATTTGGCCCGCCAAA